TGGGTCGAACTGCTCACCCGCTGTGTGGTGAAAGGCCAGAAACCAGAGAGTGAGCTTTAAACGATTTCCGGCTGATGCTGATGATGCTTGCCGTGCGGTTCACTGAACCCGCCCAATGACTGGGTCGAACTGCTCACCCGCTGTGTGCTGAAAGGCCCAGAAGTCAGAGAGTGAGTTTAGAAGTGTTTGCAGCTGATGCTGATGATGCTCGCCCTGCGGTGCCAGCCCAAAACGGTACAGAGTACGCCTGAAAGAACCCTGAGTCACGAACTCCTCGAAGGTGGTTAATTGATGCTGAAGCAATAGGCTCCGAAGGAACAATCTGAGTCTCAGTGGGAGGATGTCAGTCAGATTGAGGAGTTGTTGACAGTTATTGTTTGACTTGAAGGTCTAAGGTTGAGCTGTAAGGTCACGGGTATAGTTTTAGGTTGAGGATGAAGAGTTTATATAGGGTTTAGAATACGTCAGGACTTGAACTCCGCGACCCTAGATCCCAATCTCGAAACACTAAACCCTAAAGATCTCAAACCTTACATGAGGCTTGTTCCCAGAGAGCCCAATACCCCTTAATGAAGGAATATACCTTAAATTATACGGAGATTCGTATTATGATTTAAGCTCTATTCCTTAATTAAGGAGTATTGGGCTCTCTCGGTTCTTGAGTTGCGGCAATGGCACTACGGTGGTGCCGTTGACGGCAGGCTGCGCTGCCTGCTTCGGGGCGGGTTGAAGAGTGGCGGTCTCGCAGTCCGATAGCCAGTCAGGATTTAGCGTTTTGGGTTTAGGGTATATATAGAGTTTAGGGCTTAGGGTTTAGGGTTTAAGGTTTAGGGTTTTAGGTTTTGGGTGCAGGGTTCAGGGCTTTGGGTTTTGGGTTTAGGGTGCAGGGCTTAGGGCTTAGGTTGCAGGGTTTAGGGTTTTGGGTTTAGGGAGTGATACACCACCAAAACGGCCCGCACTGGAACATGTGCCAGCGAAGACAGCATGCAACTGTGGCACTTTAACTTTATGATGCAGTAGCCCAGTGTACAGGTATAAAATAGCAAGTCGCAACACTAAAGCAATCTCACGACTGCGAATGGCAGTAAATGCGTCTTGATTGAAAGGCATTTCATCTGGGAGTTTAACCGTGGACGCCAAATAGTAGGATCCTTATTGTAAGTACCCCAAAATCAGGTACCCCTAACTTTCGGAAACTCCCATTGAGCTTTCGGTGGAGCTCCCGGGCACCCATCTTAGGCTTAAGGTTTAGGGTTTAGCGCTTCAGGCCTTCTGATCTACTTGGGGGTTCATGGGACTTCGTAAGTACGGTTATGAGTACCCTAATTGGGGGTATAAGTACATATGGGTGGTTGTCAAAATTATGGTCCCTTTTTGGGTCCCTATTGTAGTACGGCGCCTAATATATAGGGCACCCAAAAAGGGGCCCTAATTTTGATAACCACCCATATAAGTGTAGTAACCTTAATTATAACCCTAGTTACTAACTCCCATGAACCTCTAAGTAGGGTTCCAGGTTCAGATTGAGGACTTCCGACTTATGGTTTTGAGCTAAAGGCTTTGGGGTTTAATGTAGGGGGTTCCTTGTTATATTTATTCTATATTGGGCCCCCCAAAAACCTATTCAAACTATCAAGGCCCCTATATCACAGAACCCTACTATAGATCCCTTATAGTAACCCTTAGACGGATCCCTTTAAAAAGGAACCCTATTCTAACTGTTGAGGCCGCTACAGTATTATAAAGCCGCCAAGTCGTTGTCATCGATTCAAGCCGGATCCCCCGGGTTTCTCTGAGCTGCGGTTTAGGGTTTAAGGTTTAGGGTTTAGGGCTTAGGGTTTAGGGTTTCGGGGTTTAGGGCTTAAGAAGTCAGACAGCTATTGTCCATGCCTCTTTCTTTGGCTTCGCTTCCCGTAAACCCCAAAATCCTAAAGCTTCACCCCATATCTTCCGATCTGTGTTTGGCATCTGTTTGCCCTAAACCCTAAACCCTAAACCCTAAACCCTTAAGTTTCAAAATCCGAAAAAGTTGCACCCTACGTCTTCCGATTCTGGGGGGCGTGGAGTAGGACGGCACCCAGGGAGCCCAAATCTCCTGAATTAAGGAATATAGCTGAAATCATTAGGTTTTTTGGGTTTAGGGTATAGGGTTTAGGGTTTAGGGTCTAGGGTTTAGGGTTTAGGGTCTAGGGTTTAGGGTTTAGGGTTTAGGGTTTAGGGGATGAATCTCCTCATAATTCAAGGTATACTCCTCAATTAAGGGGGTATTGGGCTCTCTGGGCAACGCGCTTTTTGGGTTCAGCTTGCGACCTGGAGGCCCTGATCCATCAGCTTCTACTGTACTTGGAGGATCATGGGACTTAGTATCCTTTTAATAAGGGTACTATAGGGTTCTATAGTAGGGTTCCTTTAAAGGGATCTATAGGGGTTCTATAATGGAGGATCATGGGACTTAGTAAGTCAGGTTATAAGTACCTGAAGTGGCCGTATAAGTGTTTATAAGTATAGTTACCTTTTTTATAACCCCAGTTACTAAGTCCCATGATCCTTTAAGTAGGGGCCTTAGCAATTAGAAGAGGGTTCCAAGGGGCCTATAAGGGCTACTGTAAGGGATCTATAAGGGTACTATAAAATCGGGGCCCTCGCAATTAGAATAAGGTGTCGGGGTATAGTATACTTTAAAATAAAATACGGAACCCTCAGGAATAATGTTGGTAATAATTGGGCCCGTAGATTATAGACTAGTCCTATATACTATATGTCTAGAAGTGGATCTGGAAGGTGTGTCGGATTTGCCTCTTGTCGGGCTAGGTTCCTGAGTAGCCCCTTAATAACAAGGGCACCCTTATTCTTACAATGCGGCTCCAACAAAAGGCCTTCGTGGGGTTTCGCATGCTTCTTTGTATCTCTTAAGTCTTCAGCTCTTCCAAAGTCTCCCAGGTGGCCTGCTCTGCTGCCGGAGCCGCGGCTGCAGCTGGAGTCGGGGTAGCCGGGGCAGGAGCAGTCGCCGGAGCCGCGGGAGCAGCGGGGGTACCACCACGCTTCCCCATCCTCACGAAAGGCCCGAACTTCTGAAGGATGCGCAGAACTAGGATTCGCTGCAAGCTAGCATGGTATCTTGAGTAGTCACTCATGTGTATCTTGTGTAGCATGCAGGAAGCTTGGGTGACGAAGAATGCTGATATTGCGGGGTTTCTTTGGGTCTGGTTTTCGTGCTGCCATGTACCCTTGAGCCACTGTGGATCCTCGCCGGCAATTTTCACAGTTCTGGTGCCTGAGAGCCGCAGGAAACCGGCAACCCATTGGTTAGATCCTATAACCCCCCTAGAACCATGATAGAAATAACATGTTTAAATATTCTCTTGGGTTTTCTTATGAACAAACATAAGAACTATTCCTAAGAAGACTACAGATTCTGGATTGACTGCCGTTCAGCATGCTGAACAAGGAATGCTAGACTGTCGCGTACATGTGTGTGCAGCCTTGTACCGCAGACCCTCCTTTAGCCTATGCTGCTGTGCCGACACGCTGCTGTACTGACCTCCTTTTCACTTGCCAAAAAACAAGGCGAGTGCGTGAGTACGCGAACGATGCACGATGTGAAACTGGCGCGTCCGGCAGCGCATTCGCACCTGGGCCAGGTAGGCATCTTCACTTAGGAACTGAGGCTTACACTGCCCTGAAACCCCCGCACACTGAACCCCCAAATTAATCAACCCCCAACCCTAAACTCTGAGCCCGACGAAAGAAACCCTATGAAACCCCGTGAAACCGTATAGATCCCGAATCCCAAGGCCCTACACCCTAAAGCCCATGGCCCCCTCCTTAGTGCGTGATGCAGGGGCTCTAACGTAGGGGCCTTAATAATTAGGGTAGGGTTTGGGGGTATATTATACTAGAAGTGTAATAAGTAACCCCAAAACCCTATTCTAATTATTCCGGCCCCTACATTTATGATTGGAATTTCGCTGTCGGTGTATGTTCTAGTTTTCAGTATATCGGGATTACAAGCGGAGATATCTCCTTGTTTCGACCCCTAGATTACCCAGGCCACTCCTTCACCAAACTGAAACTGTTTCTCAGGACAGGCACTTAATCCGAACTCCGACTGAGAGCATTTGTCGTTCTGCTCTTTCGGGTTGAGGGGCTTTTAGGGGTTTAGGGATTTAGGGTTTAGGGTTTAGGGGTTTCGGGCTTAGGGGTTTAGGGGTTTAGGGGTTTAGGGGTTTAGGGTTTAGGGTTTAGGGGTTTTAGGGGTTTAGGGCTTCTCGCTTGTAGCAAGTATTCCCTGCTTTGACGACGGTAAAACCATGATGGCGATGATGACTCACCCTCGGCAATTGAGCCTGCCGAAGTTGAAGTCCGTCACCAAACGCCCTGAAAACTTCGGAAACCCTAAACCCTAAACCCTAAACCCTAAAACCCTAAACCCTAAACCCTAAACCCTAAACCTCAAGAATCTCCGTTCACACCCTACCAGATCGCTGGGAAACGTTAGAAATCAACGAAAAGCCTTACACCAAGGACCAACGCCCAAGGCCTGAACCCTGGGGTTTAGGGTTTAGGGTTTAGGGGTTTCGGGTTTAGGGTTTGGCCTGAACCCTCAAACCCCAAAGAGCAGAACGAAATAGAAAAAACCCTGGACTGGAACCCTGACAGCCTCAACCCTAAACTCCCCAAACCCAGAAACGAAGCGCTAGAAGCCGAAGCCCAAAACGCCCTAAAACCGCAAGCTTTAAACAAAACCCTGGAGCCCGAAATGCCAAGACACCCTCGCAGAGGCTCCAAAACCGCTTCATCAAGGACTCGAATTATAATGGAGGACCCGTATCCTCATTTAGAGGCCGCGACCCATGGGCCGTGGCCCACCTTATAAGCCCTCCTAAACCCTAAACCATGAACCCTGAACCCTAAACCCTGAACCCCAAACCCTGAACCCCAAGTCCCCAACTGTAAACCCCAAACCTTACAACTTTAAAACCCTAAACTTCCCGGTCACCTCATCGCCAGACGGCCGTAAACTTCGCCTCCTTCTCCTTTACTGATTTTGGTACCAAAATCAGAAGTTTGGCTGTTGCTTAGGGGTGATAGTATTACCAAGCCCTAAACCCTAAACCTTCTTAGGTACTAAGTCAAGATTTATTTTATGCGTCCAAATACACCGTAAACTTTAAACGCTCAACCCTTTCTGGCCACTATAAGCGAATAAGTTTAAAAACAAACCCTAAACCCTAAACCCCTAAACCCCTAAACCCCTAAACCCCTAAACCCTAAACCCTAAACCTAAAAAGTACCCCCCCCCCCCAAGTCTCCTCCTCGGGCCAGGCCTGCGTCCGATTCGTCCTGGCCGTGGGTTTTAAGGAATTGCAGTAAACCCCATAAAGTAGGAAACCGGATTCCAAACAGTAGGCAAAACGGGGTACCCTTATCATAAAGGGGCGACTCAGGAACTCAGGTATCTACAGTAAACCCCATAAAGTAGGAAACCGGATTAAGGCCAAATAGTGCCGGGATGCCCTATACATGACTGTTGGGGATTGAGGCTACGGCGTTTCCAACTTTTGGGCTTCTACTGTATGGTCAAGGGTTTTTTTGGTTTGGGGTTTAGGGGTTTACAGTTTAGGGTTTAGGGGTTTAGGGGATTACGGGATTGAGGGGTTTAGAGGCTATGGTTTAGGGTTTAGGGATTTCTGAATGAGATTTCGTGTGCTTCGGAGTTATCGGGCGGCTTTCTTCGAGTGCCTGGGGGCGGGCGCTTTTGCCGTGAAGATTCCGGGTTTGCGTGTGTGGGCTTTGGGGATCTGAAAGACCCTAAGTGCTTACGGTTTAGGGTTTAGGGTTTAGGGTTTAGGGTTTCAGAAGGGTCGCCCACAGTCGACCGCTCTCTAGGGTTTAGGGTTTGTATAAACCTTATTGATAACCCCAGTTACTAAGTTCCATGATCCTTTCAGTGATTGTTAAGGCACCAAAAACCCAGAGACTCCAATATCCCTTAATGAAGGAACATACCGTAAATCATATTTGGGATCCTGCTATCATTTAAGGTATATTCCTTAATTAAGGGATATTGGAGTCTCTGGGGACTTGGGTTTCGGGATCTGATAAAGCTTTGGGTTGAGTTTGTCAGGATGTAGGCGGTTGGGGTTTAAGGCAAGGAGTAGGGTAGCAAGGTGTAGGGCTGTAGCATCAGGGGTTTAGGATGCAAGACTTTCTTGTTCAAGATGGTGGGACTGCCAGGTTTAGGGCTCAGGTTTGAAGATGTTGTTTGTCGGTGTTACTCTGCAGGTGGGGATTCTTCGCTTCAAGGGTATCTTTCCATGTTTGAGTTCCGTACTTGTCTGAGCCTCCCAAGCCCTAAACCCTGAACCCTCAACCCTGAACCCTACACCCTAAACGATGCCACACGGCCCCTTGGCCAAGAGCGAGGCTTTCTTTCGAAACTCGGGTGACCAATCCCCAAAGTCTGGTTTGGAAGCCCACAGAACCCAAAACCCGAAACCCTAATATAGGGGCCTTAACAATTAGAGCAAGGGTTTTGGGGCCCATTATACTATAATTATTGTTGATCTTCTTGAAGTTGATTGGTTACCGCTCCGTAGCCAGGCATGTCGCCCTCATTGGGATTGATCCCACCTGAAGCTCCTTCCATAATCCCTCTACGCCTTCTGAACAGCTCCGTAGTGCAGGGTCAGCAAGGCTCAAAGGAATCCCATGGGGAGGCTAACTCAGACGCTCAGATCTTTCACACCACAGCGAACAACGTAAGTATGCAAGCTGTCTTAGCCTTGCTTGGCATGCTGTCTACTCCATAGAACTGGATCACTGCCTACAGCTTGATCCACATGCCCTCAGTTCGTAAAACATCGGAAGAGTGCCCTAGCTGTACACAAATGCCCAAACGCGGACCTCTAGGATTTCACACTCCTCCTTGGTGCCATCGCAAGATTCGCACCACCTAAAAGCCGGTCCGCGGACCTGCCTTTCGAAAACAGTACTGACACACGTTCTTCGTGTGAATGTGCCCCGCATTCCTCAGTCCCCTACATCCAATCTCACAGTGAATACAATGACCACCAGCTGATAGGTAGACTGAGGACTCTGGGCCCAAAACTACTACTGGATCTGTCTGAGTAATTTGTGAAACCTTCTGCGGTGGTGATGGACCCGGGACCCCACTTGACCCTGAAACCTGGGGCAACGTATCATGACTCGACGCTGGCTGCGACCCTCCTGGGCAAACTCCCTGCTGGTCGTGACTCGTTGCGCGGTAGGCTCCAGGTGGTGCCTGGACGGTAAGGCTTGAGTGGGGGTACGGTATTCCCACTGGGACGGTCGTGGAGGAGCTTGGGCGCTCCCCATAGTAGGAACGGTGGGCTGCTTCGGCGTCCATCATTGGATCCGCTGGGCCGTGGACATGCACCACTCCAGCCTGGATCAACGGGCTTGAAGGCAGACGCTCATCTGCCTGCTGCTCCACGGGACACTTATTCCTGCCTCTCCTTGTCCTTCCTCCGCTGTCACTAGCCCCGGACGGACTGGTCTCACTGACGGCCTAAATCCTTCAAAAATAAGTAAAAAGAGTTGCCCCTAGCTAATAATATTTCCACCCATGACATAAAATTTTAAGCACGAAACTTTTTAAAGATATTATGAAAAATCTGTCGGGGGAAATCATTAAATATTTGTTAAAAAGTTACATAATTATTTTGTAATTATTTTGCCCCGTTGTTTATTACATTGATTTTTTGATATATCTATAATAATAAACTCCCTCAGTTTTTGTAATTTCAAATTCCATTTCTTCAATGATTTTACTAATTTGCTGTGTTGAAACCTTTTTATTCAAATAATTTTTATTTTTCAAATAATCATTAAATTCTTTGGTAAGATCACTGCGTAAAATTTTATCTTGTCGGCTTGTTGTTTTTTCATAAAATTCATTAATATAATATTTTATTAAATTTTCCATTGTCATTATACTAGGATTTTTAGCTGGTGACGTGCCTTCTTCAATTTCGTTATTATTTTCTTCATTAGCTTCTTCATTTTTCTCTGAATTTGTGAAATTATCTGAATTATTTTTAGTATTATTTTTAATATTATTGGCATTATGTAATTCTTTTGCTCTTTTCATATCTTGCATTTTTATTTGCCATTCCATCTGTATTCTTTCATTTATTGTTAAACTGTCATCTTCTTCGTCATCGTTTTCATTTACATCTACTTCTGTTTCTTCATAGCTACTATATTCACTTTCATTATCTTCATCATTTACATCGCCGTGAAATATTGCTTTCATTCTATCGTCATCGTGTTCAATATTAAAAAAATCTTCTAAATCATTAATCAAATCTTTTAAATTCTCAATATCATTATTGATTTTTTTGACTTCCTCGTTAATTTCATTCATATGATTGTTAATAATTTCTTTATCATTGTCATCTAACAAACTATTGTATTTATTTAATAATTTATCGTGTTGATTTTGTTTTATATGGTTGTTCAGGAAATTCTCGCCGTTGCTTCGTAATAATTTATTTAACTTATCATAATATTTATTAATAACGTCCATATTAATATTATATGTAATCTTTCCTTTAAGACATTTAAGATAAGATATTTAATAAAATACTAGTTTTTGGAACTTTATTCAATATCCTGTGTGGTAAGTGGTGAGGTTTGGGCAGGATTTACACGGAAAAATCCTCCATAAAAATATTTTTCAAAAAAAAATATTTTCAAAAAATATTTTTTTATTTTCTGAAACTTTTTACAAAACCCCCCACACTCTCCAACCCCACCACACTGCCCTATAAATCCTTCTATATCCTCCTCTCTACTATTCTATATATACTATATACTACTAATAAATATTAAATAAGTATAATAATATATAATATATAATATATAGATATATATAGAATATAGGGAGTGTATAGAGAATTATTTGTGTGGTGAGATGGGGTTGTAGGTATAAGATATGTGGTAGGTTGTAAAAATACGATCATAATAATTGTATTTTATTATGACAGTATTGAAGATTTACGACTGGGTTTCTTCAAAGGTTAGGTCGTCAGTGTAAAATTAGGACAATAGTTAAGTTGCTTCTTACTGTTTTGGCTTTTTCTCTGGTCAAAAGTAATTCTTAATATAGTGTTGAAGTCAGTCACAGTTCTTTCTATACTTAACTGTTCTTTCTCAATATACTGTTTGATTGCATCTTTTGCGTTTGCAGTATTATCATAAACAATCATTGCATATACTTTTTTCATAATCAAGTATCTTTTGTAGCTGATTTTCATTTTTTCTCGTAAATATTCAAAACTTGGTAGATTATAAACAACACCAAAGCAAATCATATCCTCTTCAACGCCTCTTGTTCTCAATATATTTGTAGTTATTAAGTTTTTCATTAAGCCCAGCCGTGTTTTCCACATCATAATTTCAACCTCCGATATTTCCTGATAGTTGAAGCTGATTATTGTTTTAATTAAATGTATAGGTAGATGCAATTTATGAAGCTCCATATTTTCAGGACTAAATTGAAATTCCTGACAACTGCTGTAATTGATTTTATTTGTTATGTATTTCTCAACATCTTTATATGTATGGTGCATTCTCTTTCAATATGGTATGACAATATTTCTTTAAAGTTCAATTTCTAATAATATTTGTTAGTCTCGCTGTCATACTTAATATCAAATTTCTCTAACGTGCTTTCTTTTACATTTTTTTGTCTGTTAGAATTCAGTTTAAAAATTGTATCATAACGGTGTTTCTTCCATTCTTTTGTTTTGCTATTTTCACCTTTAAAATCTTTCAGTTTATCCTCAACATCTGTCAAGCTATTCTTCAACTCTTCCTTTTCACTAACTAACTGTTTAACTTGTTCTTCTAAATCCTTTATTCTTTCATCTTTTGCTCTATCGGTTTCAGTTTTCTCTACAACTTTCAAGTATTTATGTTGCTGAACTTCAACACTATTCCTCATTTGTCGAGCGAGCTCCCTTTTCTGAGCGAATGTCATATTAAAATTATTTTAAAAATGGCTTATATATACTGATCTCATTGTGTCAATATCCAACCCATCAATTTTTGTTATTTCTCGTAAGTATCTTAACAATGTTTCATCTTGTATAGGCTTTCCATTGTTTTCAAATAAATATGTTCTTGGATATTTTTCAAACGAGTAATAAATTAATTCAATCAGCTCTTTGTTTTCAAACTCAATGTCATTTTTGAGTATATCTGAGAATGATTTTGAACCCGTCACCTTATCTTTACCGACATAATATAAAACCCTCTTTCGTCCCGAACCGGTAGTCATTAACATTACATAATTT